ATGGCAGGGCTCCAGAGCCGAGCCGCAGATGCCCCTCGGGGGCACCCCGGGGGTCCCCGGGAGGTGTTTTTGGGGGGTCCCGGTGGCGGTGGCGGCAGAGCCCCGGCAAAGGGGCCGGGGGGATGCGGGTCCGGCATGGCCGGGAAAGGGGTTCGGGGCTCCCGGTGCCGGCAGTGGCTGCTCCCAGCATTGCCCAGTTGCTCCCCACGTGTGGCTCCAGTTTCCTGTGCGCCCCACGATAAGCCAAATCACTCCCAGTCATTCCCTATTAGAGTACAATTTGTCTCCATTTTATCCCATTTTTCCACATTTTTGTCCAACTTTCCCGCATTTTTATCCCATTTCTTTCCCATTTTTGCTCAATTTTTTCTAATTTTTATCCCATTTTCATACCATTTCCCCCATTTTTATCCTATTTTTTATTTTTCCCCAATTTTTTCCCCATTTTTTTTTCTCTCAATTTTCCCCTTTTTTATCTCATTTTCCTCCTTTTTTACCATTTTTTGTGATTTTTTTCTTATTTTTCTTCCATTTTTACTCAAATCGTTCCCCATGCTTTCCTATTTTTTCCCACTTTTTTCCTTTTTTAATCTATTTATTCCACATTTCTCCATTTTATCTCTTTTTGCTCCATTTTCTCCCAGTTTTTTCCCCATGTTGTCTCCTCTTTTCCCCATTTTCTTCCATTTTTTCCCCCATGTTTTCCTCACTTTTACCATTTTTATTCCCATTTTTCTCCCAGTTTCCTCCATTATTTTCCCCTATTTTAATTCTGGTTTTATCTCATTTTCCCACAGTTTTATCCCCATTTTCTTCCATTTCTTTCTCCCATTTTTCCCAATTTTTCCTCCATTTCCATCACATTTTCCCCAATTTTTTCCCTATTTTTATCTTATTTTTTCCCTATTTTTATCTCATTTTTTCCCTATTTTTATCCCATTTTGGCTCGATTTTCCCCCATTTTTCCTTTTGTTTTTCTCTCTTTTCCCCCATTTTTTTCTAGTTTTTCCCAACTTTTCCCCATTTTTCCTCCATTTCCCCCTATCTTCCCCATTTAATTATCCCAAAAATTGAAATTTGCTGGGGGGAGATTTGAAATTTTGGGGGGGGGAAAATAGAAATTTTGGCAGGAAAAAAGGGTGTTTTGGGGGCAAAACTCCATGAATTTGAATCACAGCTTTCCCATGATTTTCCATGATATTTCCATGATCTCCAGCTGGAAGGAGGCGTGGGATTCATCTGAACATTCTGGAAGCTGGAAGAGGACCAGGCCATCAACCTTCCTGAAAATCTGGACCAGCTCATCTGCAATTCCACCTTTCTCCACTCCCCGGATTCCCAGGTCTGGAAATTCTTCTACAACCTCCCAGGTAGGCAATTCCCAAAATTCCATAGAAAAATGGGATAGGGGTATTTCATCCTGTTTTTTTCCTGATTTTTCCCAGTTTTTTTCCCCATTTTTCCCCTGCTTTTTCCTGATTTATCCAGATTATTTTTCTCTTTCTTTTCCTCACTTTGTCCCTGATTTTTCCCATTTTTTCCCTAATATTTTTTCCAATTTTTTCACTCTTTTTTCCCCCCATTTTTTCCTTATTTTTTCTGTTTTTTCTTGTTTTTTTCTGGGTTTTTTTTCTGATTTTTTCCCTTCTTTCTTTTGCCAATTTTTTCTTTTTTTTTTTTCCCAGTTTTTGCTCAAAATTCCCTGACTTTCCCAGGATTTTTCCCACATTTTCCTGATTTTTCCCTCTTCTTTTCCCAAAATTTTCTGTCTTTTTCCCAACTTTTTCTCCCATTTTTCCCTGATTTTTCCCATTTTTCCCCTGATTTTTCCCAATTTTTTCCCTGATTTTCCCCCAATTCTTTTTCTTTTTTCTGATATTTTTCTGATTTTTTCCCAGTTTTATTCTTTTTTTCTTTTCCTGATTTTTCCCTCATTGTTCACCATTTTTTTCGCATATTTTTCACATTTTTTTTCCTGATTTGCCCCAATTTTTCCCCATTTTTTTTCCTAATTTTTCCTGATTTTTGCCTGTTCATTTCCTAAATATTTTCTGGCTTTTTCCCAATTTTTTTCCATTTTTCCAAGGTTTTTTCCCCCAGTTTCTTTTCATCATTTTTCCCTTGTTTTACCTTTTTTTTCCCAATTTTTTCCTCCATTTTTTTTCCTGATTTCCCACATTTTTTCCTGATATTTCACTCTTCTTTTCACAATGTTTTCCTGTTTATTCCCCAATTGTTTCATAATTTTCCCCTGATTTTTACATGTATTTCCTATTTTTTTTTACTGATTTTTCCTGATTTTTTCCAGGTTTCTTTCCTCTCTCTTTGCTCAAATTTTCCCAATTTTTTCCCAAATTTTTTCCTGATTTTACCCTTTTTCATTCCAAAGTTTTTCTGGTTTTCCCCTTTTTTTTTTTCCTGATTTTTTCATTATTTTTTTCTGATATTTTCCAGACTTTTTTATCTTTTCCCATGATTTCCCCTGATCTTTCTTTTTTTTCACATTTTTTTCTAATTTTTTCCCAATGCTTTTCCTGATTTTTTTGCAAGCTTTCTCAAACATTTCTGGTTTTTCCTTGATTTTTACAATTTTCTTCCCAATTTTTTCCTGATTTTTCCCGATTTTTCACAATTTTTTTAATGCCTATCCCATTTTTTCTGATTTTTCTCTCTTCCTTTCCCAAATTTTTTCTAGCTTTTTCCCAACTTCTTCTCAAATGTCCCTAATTGTTTGCCTGATTTTCCCACAATTTTTTCACAATTTTTTCCCATTTTTTTTAGATTTTATTTATCTTTTTTTTCCTGTTTTTCCCTGATTTTTCCAATTTCTTTCCCAGTTTTTCTTCTGATTTTCTCGGGCTTTTTTCCTGATTTTTTTCCCCTTTTTTCCTGATTTTTCCTTCTTTTCCTATTTTTTCCTGATTTTTTTCCCCATTTTTCCTGATTTTTCCCAATTTTTTCCACTTTCTTTTCCTTGAGTTTACTCTTTGTTTTTCCCCAAATTTTTCCTGGTTTTCCCAAATTTTTTGTCAAATTTTTCGGGTTTTCCCCAAATTTTTCCCAATTTTTTCATGATTTTTATGCCATTATTTTGATTTCACCGTGATTTTTTTTTTCTGTTTTTTTCCCTGATTTTTCCCTGATGTTTTCCTTTAATTTATCCTGGTTTTTTCCCCCATTTTTTCCCCAATTTTCCAGTTTCCTTCATACTCCCAGTCTAATCCCAGGAACTCCCAGTCACTTACAGTCTAATCCCAGTCACTCCCAGGATGAGGCCAGTGGCCCCCAGTTGCTCCCTGGCAGTGCCAGTGTGACCCCAGTAGCCTCCAGTGTGATCCCTGGGACTCCCTGTCTCTCCCAGTATATCCCAGTCAGCCCCAGCACGCTCCCAGTCATTCCCAGCTCCTCCCAGTTGCTCTCAGCATGATCCCAGTTGTTCCCAGCCACTCCCAGTGAATCCCAGTATGATTCCAGTCACCCTCAGTGGGATCCCAGTCTCAGCCAGCATGGACCCAGCTGCTCCCACTGTGATCCCAGTATGATCCCAGTTGCTGCTAGAATAGTTCCAGTTGTTCCTAGTTCCTACCAGTGTGATCCCAGTTGTCCCTAGAATAGTCCCAGTCCATCTCAGCATGGTCCCACTCACACCCAGTTTCTCCCAGGGTGGTCCCAGCTCTTCCCAATGTGGATCCATTAACCCCACTATGATTGCAGACCTTCCAGTATATCCCAGTTGCCCCTGTAAGGTTTTAGTTACTTCAGAATGATCCCTGTCTTTCCCAGTGGCTCCCTGTTTCTCCCACTGTGATCCCAGTTGTGGTCACAGTCTCCTCAGCATGGTTCCAGTTGCTCCCAATGTGTCCACGTTTTCCTCCCAACATGGGCCCAATAGCTCCCAGTAACCCCACCCACTGTAATCCCAGTGGTTCCCAGTGCTATCCCTGTAGGAGCCATTGTCACTCCCAGTATGGTTCCAGTCACTTCCAGGATAATCCCAGTCACTCCCACTACAATCTCAGTCACTCCCAGTATGAGCTGTTGTACCAGCCACCCCCAGTATGGTTCCAGTCACTCCCAGATCCTCCCAGTATGGTTCCAGTCATGGCCAGAGTGACTCCCTGTCTCTCCCAGGGTTGGCCCAGTTGCTCCCATTCATCTCCAGCATGGTTCCAGTCCCAGCCAGCACCTTTGTAGTCACCCCCAGTATGATCCCAGCTAGTTCCAGTAGGATCCCAGTATGACCCCAGCATGGGCACAGCTGTTGCCATGATTATCCACTGTAGTTCCCATTGCTGCCATTTACCTGCACTTGTCTCTCTCCCAGTCTATCCCAGTTGCTCACAGTCACTCCCAGTCACTCTGATGCAGTCCCAGTTGCTGCCAGTGTGGTCCCAGTCTTACCCAGCATGGCCCAGTTGCTCCCACTGTGATCCCAGTAGGATCCCAGCTGTCCCCAGCATGGTTCCTATTGTTCCCAGTGTTATTTCAATCCCCCCAGTATGGTCACAGACACTCCCAGTATATCTCAGCTACCATCAGCATGCGTCTTGTGCTCATTCCCAAGGATTCCCAGTTGCCCCAGTAAGGTTCCAGTATCATTCCAGTACAAACCAGTCCCTGCCAGTGCTGCAACTCCTGGGATCCCCCAGCCCTCTCTGTGTTCCCCCCTCCCACATCTCCCCAGAGGAGCCCCAAGGGCTGGCAGTCCCCAGCCAGGGTCCCCAGCCAGCCCCAGGTTGGATCTGCAGCCCCCAATTTTCCCAGTTTCCCTCTCCTTTTCCCCGGGCCGGGTTCCCCCCGTCCCCAGCGGGTGGGAGCAGCGGAGAGCCCCGCGCTGCCCATCCCGACCTGTCCCGGCTCCATCCCCGCTCCTGCCGTGGGCTGTGAGGGGTTTGGGAACGGGGCACCGAGGGTGTCGCTGCTCCTGGGGGAGGAGGAGGAGGGATGGAAGAGGAGGGATGAAGAAGGAGAGCAAGAAGAAATGGCAGTAGGAGAAGAAGGTGGGGATAGGGAGGAGGAACGGGAGGAAGAGGAGGAACAAAGGAAGATCAAGGAAAGGAGAAGGAACCACGAGGTTGAGCACTCCGTGAATTCACAGCCCCCACCTGTGAGATCATCACCCCCATCCCACAGGTGCCTGGGGAGTGGGAGCTTGGCCCAGATATCCTGGGGGATCCCTGGGTTGGGTTTTTTCCTGGAAGATGTTTGGAGAATGAAGAACTCCAAAGCTGGGTGGAAAATGCCTCTTGGGGGCACTTAAGGGGGTCCAGCATCCCTAAGTGGGGAGATGGGAACAGGAGGAACTTTTCAGATTCCTGGCACTCCCAGCAGCCTGGGGAGGGCAAGGACTGAGCAAGACAGGGGGACCTCTTGTACAAGCGTGACCCCCAGCAGCTGGGACAGGGAGGAACCCCTGAACAGCAAAGGGGAGAGACCAGAGTTGGGGAACTCCTGGGAGACATTTTCAGGACTGAATCTTGGTGTTTGGGGGATTTATATGGGCACCAGCTGCCTAGTGACTTCTAAAGGTGGACTTGGAGAGAGGAAACCCCTTAATCCAATGTCCTCATCCCTTGTATTTCCCCAAACCAGGATTTCCCATTCCCAAACCTTGGCTGGATGGAGAAGGAGGCTGTGAGGAAGAGGAAGATGCCCCAGGACACCCAGGCAGGTGAGGAGGAAGTCAGTGCCCCTTTCCCCCTCTCTCCTGCTCCATCTCCCAGCCCAGCAGGGCCCCCGGCTGCAGGACAACCCCGCTGCCGACGCCGTCCTGCCGGGGAGGCACTGGGGGGATCTCCTTCCCCTTCCCTCTGGCACGGAGGCAAATCCCATCCTCTCCTTGTCCTTCCTCCCCCAGACAAGGAGCTGAGGATGGAGACCAGGGAGGACAAATCCCCACGGCAGAACCTCATGGAAGAGGCTGTTTTGAGTGGCTCCACGGCACAGGAATCCAACAGGGAGGAAAATCCCCGGAGATCCCACAGGAGGAGGGGCTCCAAACCCATCCCAGGGTGCTCTGAGGAGGAAAGACCCACCCTGTGCCGGGAAGGTGGCCGGAGATCCAGCCAGGGCTCTGAGCTGGTGGTCCATGAGCAGCTTCAGGATGGGGAGAAGCGCTACAAGTGCTTGGAGTGTGGGAAGAGCTTCAGCTTCAACTCCCAACTTGTCATCCACCAGCGCATCCACACTGGGGAGAGGCCCTACGAGTGTCCTGAGTGTGAGAAGAAATTTCAGATCAGCTCCCATCTCCTCAAGCACCAGCGGATTCACAGTGAGGAGAGGCCCTTCCACTGCCCTGACTGTGGGGAGGGATTCAAGCGAAACTTCACCCTCATCACCCACCGGCGCATCCACACTGGGGAGAGGCCCTACGAGTGTGGGGAATGTGGGAAGAGCTTCAGCCACAGCTCCAGCCTCATCTGCCACCAGAGGACCCACACTGGTGAACGGCCCTATCAGTGTGGGGAGTGTGCAATGACCTTCAACCGGAGGTTCCAATTGACCATCCACCAGATGATCCACACTGGGGAGAGGCCCTATGAGTGCTCCGAGTGCGGGAAGATGCTTCAGACCAGTTCAAATCTCCTCAAGCACCAGCGGATTCACACGGATGAGAGGCCCTTCCGCTGCCCTGACTGTGGGGAGGGCTTCAAGCGCAACTTCACCCTCATCACCCACCGGCGCATCCACACTGGGGAGAGGCCCTACGAGTGTGGGGAATGTGGGAAGAGCTTCAGCCAGAGCTCCAGCCTCAACACCCACAAACGCATCCACACTGGGGAGAGGCCCTACGAGTGTCCCCAGTGTGGGAAGAGCTTCTCCAGGAGCTCTCACTTGACCAGACACCAACAGAAGCACCAGTAAGGGAAGCCCTGTGAGTGCCCCAAGTGCAGAAAGAGCTTCGTGTGGTGCTCCAGCTCCATTCCCCATCAGAGGACCCACGTTGGGCAGAGCCCTGATGACCTCTGTTTCCACTGATCTGCATTGGGAAGACACTGGGCTGGTGGTACTTTTGTTTCAGTCCTAATTTTCTTTTAATTCATCTTCATCCCTTTAAAATAGACAAAATCGGGGTAAAAATGAACAAATTCATCCAAGACCTTTAAAGCCTTTCTTTTTACTAGAGCTTCAAGGGAAACTGGGGTTCAAGGATATACTTGGGAGGATTTGGGGTTTGTGGGGGTATTTGGTGTAGTTGTCTCCATTTCTTAGCACTCATAGATATGAGAGGCTTCAATGTCACCTCAAAACCACTCAGTACCACTGAATGCTACTCAATCCCACCCCAAAATTATTCAATTCCACAGCCCCTCAGGGTGTGATGCCTTAAGTTTTAGCTTTCATATTTTTCATATTCTGAATTACCTAGGTTAGGAGTTTTGAACTTCATATTAATTGTTAGTGTCAGGAAAATTAATCCATGAACACCAGAGGTTTATGTCCAAAAAGGAGACTGGGGAGTCCTTTTACTTCATTCAAATAAAGAGAGAGGCCATGGGGCATTCCCCTGGGGTCTCTCCAATTTTTGGAGGGCGCAGCCTCCCTGTTATCCTAATTCCCGGCCATATGTCCCTTCTCTGTTTCCCCATAGGCTGAGGGACTTGAGAGGTACAGACTTCCCGGAACGTCTGATGCCTGGGATAGCACCACCCCCCCCACCCCGCCAATGCATAATCCTCTTCTTAATTCTTAACCATTGTGGAATTTGATGGTGTTTCCCCAGTGTTTCTTTCATCTTTCAGTTGAATCCATCCCATTGTTTCTGTTCTCTCTCAGTGATAGTTTCATTTTATCAGCAGACCCCCAGCTTGTTTGTAAAGCCAAATGTTGCGCTATTGGGAACGGCGAGAAGCACAGCACAGACTCTCTTGTGAGTTGTACAGGAAAGCCTAAGGTGTATTACCTCAGATCTTCTTTAATAGACTGATACATGAAAGTACAGAAAGGTAAAACTCTTATTGGTCTTATTGGAACTAACACATCACCATCATTGGTCATTGGGGTTCACCACCCATCGATCTTCTTTCGCAAGAAAGCAAGAAACTGACAAACAGCACCTGCAAGGCTGTCTTCTATCTCTGAGGATTGTTTTAATTCCTTCTTATGATTTCTCAGGCGACACTGAGAAAATTATGCAGCCTGCTTTTCTGCAGGCACTGTGCTCCCTGTTTGTGCTCATATTTAACATGCATAATTCCCTCTTTTTGTTTTAAAAATAAAAAGCAGTGTTTGTAATCTCCTGCTGGGCCCCTGCAGGAAAGAGAACAAACACAGCACAAGAGGTCTCCTTTTTGTTTTAAAAATAAAAAGCAGTGTTTGTAATCTCCTGCTGGGCCCCTGCAGGAAAGAGAACAAACAGCACAAGAGGTCTCCTTTTTGTTTTAAAAATAAAAAGCAGTGTTTGTAATCTCCTGCTGGGCCCCTGCAGGAAAGAGAGCAAACACAGCACAAGAGGTCTCCTTTCAGTTACCAACAGAACATTGAATGGACACTGATTTAGAATGATCAGGGAGATTTTCTGGCATGTTACCGAATTCTTGATAAGTATTGTTTTTCTTGCAAAGAACTGATGGTTGACTCTAATACAACTAGTTAACACACAGCAAACAAAACGTCGTCAGTCTGCTCAGAACTGACAGTCATAGGGAAGAATGCTCACTCTCTGCTTGTAGAAGGACCATCTGAATGATCATTGGTATCTTGATCATCATCCAAGGGCCACCTGTTGGCTGCTTTCTGCCCTTGGTGTTGCACATCAGAGCCAATGCACCTTGCAGGTATCCACTGTATCCCAGTATCTGTGGAAACGCACGCATACCCATGACCCCAGGTGATGAGCTCACACAGGCCTTGCCACTTGTTAGTGGTTAGGTGTCTCACCCAAACTTTCGCTCGAGGCAGGTGCACCTCGCTTGAGGATTGCAGTGAAAGAAAATGATTCAAAATGACAGGATTATCAGAATATTTTTGCACTGTGAGATTATTGATTATATAAATGTTAGCGTTCAGGAACACACATAATCATGAAGGATTATATGAAGGTGCTTTATTAAAGAGCTCTGGGTGTCAGGGGTACACAAACCCAAATCTGACCCGACCCGATTTTGAGTTGAACATCTTTTATACTCTATCATTATATAACTTACGTATTAATTATTAAACTTACATTGTTTTATTGTATGCATTGTTTTTACCCAAGCATGGATTTCTTGTGATCCCCCCCAGTCCCCTAACATTGTTCCTCATGTTCTTTAAACAATAATTATATCCAATCATATCTAACAATTGTATCATGAACATCTACTGATTACACAGGTGCAGTTTGACCTGATCTTTAGCAAGCACAAGGCTTAACATTTCCCAGGGCCTACTTTTCCCAGGCTTGCCAAACCTAACTTTCTTTCTAAGTCCCTGTCATGAGGTGACTTTACCTTTAAGGTGGTTGTGAGAGCTAAGGAAGTTGAAGTTGCTGGGGACTGAAAGGAGTCCCTTCTCCTGACCAACTATTGGTCATTACTGGGAATTGACAGCAATTTTAACCATTGAAAAGGGAGATCAACTTGTGAACCCTACCTTAAGATGTAAAGTCAGAGCACTCTTAGGCTCTTTGTTTCCTGGCTGTGAAAGGTAACAGAGCTCCAGGCCTCCCGTTCCCTGCCCAGGCCATGCGGCCGGGCGGGGGCTGGCCTGGGCCTGCCGCGTCTCCTGGACGGGAGATGGGGGCTTGTGGGGAGCTTTCCCCGGGCTCTGGCCGGGCCAAGCCAATCTCTGGCTCAGCTGCAGGTTTTGCTGTGACTAAATTTACTAGAGACTGCCGAGTGAAGAAAGAAAGGGGCTCTGAACCTGCAGCGGGCTAAAGCGGCGACTACACTCTCCAGAACAGACATGAGGAATCTTTTATCGAAGACATTCCAGCTCCTGCACCAGCAGAAGTCACAGAACCATCTACAAAAGCCTGGGCAAGATTTTAACCCTTTCATTACCCAGATGAGACTTGCAGATTAATTTTTTTATCCAGAGAAAGAAAAAGAGAGTAATCAACATGTAAAGAGACTTCATAAAACTATCGGAGACAGTAAGAAAAGAATTAAGTTTCAGAAGGGGTAGAGAACAAGAAAATGCTTTATGAGCTGAAATACCTTTCTCTTGAGGCTATGGGAATGGACAATAAGGTCTTGAAAAAACTCCTTCAATTCATGACACAGTATATGGGCAGGAATGGAGTGTTCAAAGTGTGAATTTTGAGTAAAAAGTAGAGTGATTGTGGTGCGGTGAGGTGCTGGAACAGGGTGAAGCGAAAATTTGAGGCCTCGAGAGCCAATGAGAAAACTGTTTTCCAGTAGAGCTCACAAGGACAGATGAAGAAGACTTTTGCCTTTGAATAACTCATCCTTTAAATGCCATCCCTAGACTCATGGCCCATACACACCTCAGAGTGATGTGAAATGGGAGGAGTGAGCTCTGGTAGCATCATTTCTGGGCAGCTGACATCAGGGCAATAGAAAACTATAGCAGAAATAGTTTTCTTGTGAGAAACTCTATAGATTAGCAGAAAGAGACTTCTGTTTCTCTACAAAGACTGATTAAAAGACTCTAGCGAGAATAGGGACTGTTCTGGACACCAAAGTTCCAAGGTTCTTTGTTCTCCGTGTTGTCATGTGAACAAAAGAATGGTGGGTAGTAGGGGATAAAAAGAGTTTTCTGGAAGTTTATTCTGGTGTTCTTATTCTTATATTTTGTCAATAATCTTTCTTTATTCCTTTTAAGTTTTAAGCCTGTTTTGCTCTTGTTCTAATCCGTATCTCACAGCAAAAAATAAGTAATTTTTTTGTTAGTTTCTGGTTTAAAACCACGACACTGCATTACCAGCTTGCTGCTGTGCAGATGCTGCCACCACCCAAAGCACGGCCCTGTGTCCCTGAAGGGACCCGCCCTGCTCTGTGGCCTGGACTGAAGGTGGGTCCCTCCTGCCAGGGCAGGGCCCAGCACAGCTCTTCTGTTCCAATAAAGAGATGGAGCTCTCACCCCAGTGTCTGGCTGGTACCACCAGCACAGCCCACACAGCACCAGCCCTGGCTGAGCTCCATGTCCAGGAGCAGGCAGGGCTGACCACGGTGTGGGCAGGCAGGAGCCAGGCAGGGGCTGCTGTGACCAGAGGCAGGGCCCCGAGGGGCTGGGGGAGTCTGTGTTGAGCATCCCTGGGCTGAGGGCACATTTCCTTCAGTGGCATCACCTGGGCCTGGACCTCCTCCAGTGCCATGCCCAGGAAAAGAGGCAACCATCAAGAGCATCTCCTGGGACACTGCCTGTCCAGCAATGTCAGCAGGCAAAACCAAGGTTTTGTTTAGCAATGACCCTTTGATGAAGTCAAAGATTCACAGTCAGAGCAGTCCTCTAGTACAGATGGGAGTACACTTGGGGCAGACACTTAAGGCCATGAGGTCACAGAAGGCTCTGGGGTGACAGCAGGCTGAGGTGACAGCAGGCTCTGAGGTCACAGAGGTCCCAGAGCCCCGTGGTTGCACAGCACCACAAGGACCGAGCAGTCAGTCCTTGACCACGACTGTTGTGGCAGCAGCGGCGGCGGCAGCAGCGGTGCTGACATTGGGACAGCGGTGTCAGGACAGTGGTGGCAGCAAGAGCTGCAGGACTGGCAGTGGGCAAGGCACCATGGCCTTTGCTCTGCGCCTCCTCCTCCTGCTCCTCCTGGCAGTGGCCCTGCCTGACAGGGCTGCCCAGGCTGCTCCATGGCGAGCAGGGCGAGCAGGTGAGCCGGCAGCCTCAGTCCCCTTTCCCGGGACAGTGCTCCCTTCTCCCTGGGAAGTGTTGGGGATGGTTTTCCCCAGGGCTTTAGGGAGGGTTTTCTCTGTGGGAGGGAGAGAGGCCTCAGGGGCCCTGGGCTGGTCCCACTGCCCTTCCAGGGATGTTGCACAGGGCCTGCAAAGAGGGTGGAGAGTGACCAGAGCCAGCCCAGAGCTCCCCAGGCCCCTCTGCAGCTTTGGCCATGTCCATTGACATCTGACACCCACAGCCTTACCTGACCCCCTTGCAGCGCCCAGTTCTCTAAAACAGAATGGGATCCCAGCACACCATGGAATGGTTCTGATCTGTGCTTCCTTCCAGATGAGGGTGGTAGGAAGGCTTCTCCAGCAGCTTGGCTTCATGAAGATTTTCTGCCTCTGGAGCCTCATGCAGGTACGTTCTCACTGTCCCAACAAGGAATAAACACTGACAACGTGGCAGGAACCAGGTGACAGAAGCTGCTGTGGCTGTTGAGTTACAGGTGTGTCTGCAGCGAGGACATTTCAAGCTCCTTTTCTGGTTGCTGCACGCAAGCCCAGCTCCCATCACAGGGGTGAGTGGTGTGTCCCTGCTGATCCCACAGGCTGAGCCCTGGTTCTGTGGGATCCATTCATCTGAAATGGAAATACTTTCTGTTAAGATCCTCCTAGAGGGAGGAACAAACCTACAGGAGACAAGAGGCTGAGTGATCTGGAGAGACGCCGTG